GTGCAGTGGCCACTCCCGGCCACCGCAGCCTCCACCTGCTGGGCTCCGGCAATCCTTCTGTCTCAGCCTTCCGAGTAACCGGAATTAGAGGCGTGCGCTACCACGCCCGGCTGATTTTTGATTTGTTGTAGAGATGAGGTCTCGCCAAATTGCCCAGGCGGGTCTCGAACCCGCGGGCTCAGGCAATCCACTCACCTCGGCCTCTCAAGGCGCAGGATTACAGGCTGAGCCACTGAGCCCGGCTGGCAAGGCTTTCTTATGGGGTGGAGATGGGTCTGGGTGTCTCAGGCTTGTGGGTGCTCAATGAGGGGACAGGTGTGGCAAGGAATGATGCTCGGGGGGCTCCCCTACTCACACGTCCCCACCACACCCTAGAATGTGCCCCCCGACCTGGCCATCTGCTGCTTCATCCTGGAGCAGTCCCTGTCCGTCCGAGCCCTGCAGGAGATGCTGGCCAACACGGTGGAGGCCGGCGTGGAGGTGAGGCTCCTGTCCTGGGGGTGGCCACAGTGGACAAGAGGACCTGGGGGTTGTTGACCATCTGCTCTTTTTCCTCTCTCTGCCCCACCCCCCACAGGCCCTCAGTTTGGATAAGTGGGTAGGTCTGGCCTTGGGTGTCACCTGTCCTTCCCACCCTGCCTGACCCCAGGCCGGCCTCTCGGGCCCACGTCCTGCACGCAGGGACTGGGGAGCCCTCCCCACCCCAGCTGTCCAGGGCTGTGGAGCTCAGAGCAGGCCAGGCAGGAAGGAAGGAAGGGGCTGGGGGCTTCTGAGCCCCCATTCTCCCACCTCCTCCTTTCTCCTCTCTGTCCTCCCGCCAAACCTGACCCTGCTCCTCTCCGCATGGGCTCTCCCTTCACCTCCTCATCCCAAGTGTGGGTCCCCTCCCGCCCAGGAGTGGGTCCGCCATGTGATCCCTTGACCCCATCACATGGCCCCTCAGAGCATGGGCGTGTGAGAGCCATGATGGGAGGCATGATGCCATCAGGCAGTCGATGGACCCCCTCACCCGCCAAGGGCCGAGTCTCCTTGTGCTCGGGAGGGGTGGTCGCCTTGTCACCACGGGTGATGTCCACACACGGCATGGCTGCTAGGACTGTCCTGTGCTGGGACAGTTAGAGTGCAGGGGATGAGGTCCATGGAACATGAGCTACTGGGGCTTCCCCAAGTGTCCCCAGAAACCTGGAAGATGGGTTTATTTTCCCTGAGCGATTTCGGGGCCTGGTCAACAAGGTGAAGGAGGCAGGGAGGACAGAGTGGCCTTTGGGGAATAGAAAACCCATCCACAGGCTTCTCAGTGACATAGCCCCTGCTTCCATGGACAGGGAAACTGAGGCAGAGAATGTCTTGCGGGTCTGAGCTGAGCTTTTTATCTCCAGGCTTGAGCATTGTGCTCGTATATTACAGAGCCGTATTCCCACCTGGGAATAGGTCAGGCCTCTCTGGGTCTCTCAAGAGTCTGGGGTCTGTGCTTATTCTGTGCTCTCCCTCCCCCTGCAGTCATCCCAGGGTGGGGGACACAGGACGCTCCTGTACGGCCATGCCATCCTGCTCCGGCACGCCCACAGCCGCATGGTGAGTGCATCTCGAGGGTTGTGGGCTGGGTTGGGGGCGGTGCATGTAGCGTCTGCCCAGGAGGCTGACCTCCCTCTACAACCCTAGTATCTAAGCTGCCTCACCACCTCCCGCTCCATGACTGACAAGCTGGCCTTCGACGTGGGACTGCAGGAGGACGTAACAGGTGCAGGGGCTGGAGGGGGTGGGGTGTGATGGTGACCCCGCAGGCAGGAAGTTGGAGGGGGGCAGAAGGTATGGAGAACTCTGACTGCCTTGGGGGAAGTAGGGGCCTTGGGGCAGAGAGTCTGTGAGGCAATATGGACAGGGAGACGCGGGCAAGTGTGAGGAACTCTAGGCAGAGAGACTGAGGGCAGGAATGGGGAAATCAAGGCAGAGAGGCTGAGGGCAGATATGGGGAAGTCGAGGCAGAGAGTTGGTGACAGCAGTGGGAGAAATGTGGACCGGGGCCTGAGACATCCGGGGAAGAACATTCTGGAAGCCATCATCCTGACAGCCTCCCCATCCCCACCTCTGCCCATAGGAGAGGCCTGTTGGTGGACGATGCACCCAGCCTCCAAGCAGAGGTCAGAAGGAGAAAAGGTCCGTGTTGGGGATGACCTCATCCTCGTCAGTGTCTCCTCTGAGCGCTACCTGGTGAGGACCCCACCCCATTGCGGCTTCTGCTGCTCCCAGGGCTGGGCCCATCTGCTTATCATTGGCTTTGCCTGGCCAGTCTGTGGTCCCCAAGGTCTGGGCTCCCAATTTCTAGTTTCCTGACCTCGACATCCGGGTTTCTGATTTCAGACCCCCATTTCACAATTCAATCTCTGTATCTTGATCTGTGACCTCAAATGTTTCTGTCTCATTCCTGCCTGCTGGTTTCCTGGCACCCATCCTTGTTTCTGGCCTCTGACCCTGGACTCCTGCACACCTCTGCCAATCATCTCTGATACCATGCCCTGGCTGCCCTAGCACCTGTCGACAGCTAGTGGGGAGCTCCAGGTGGACGCCTCCTTCATGCAGACGCTGTGGAATATGAACCCCATCTGCTCCCGCTGCGAGGAGGGTGAGGGCCCCAGCCTCTGCCCCCTAAGCTGAGACCCCCCAAAACATACCCTAAGGGTTGCCCCTCAGACATGCTCAAACCGAGCCTTGGCACCTCAGACCTCAAACCGAGATTTCCAAATTATGGCTCTCACACATAGATCTCCAACTCACCACAAATCTAGACTCCCAGAGCTCAGACCCCCCAAGCCCAAAACTCAATATTAGACTCCCACACTCAGACTCCAAAGTGTTAGTCCCAAAGCTCAAACGTCAAATTCAGGTCATAGAAATCAGACCCCAAAATTAGACCCAAAACTTAGAACATCAAATTTGGAGCTTATCCTTTAGATGAAAAACGCAGACTGTGATCTCAGCCCCTCACACCCAGACACACAAAATCAAACCTCAGATCCCCAAACTGGGAACTGTAATTCAGATGCCAAAATTCAGCTCACTAATCTCAGACTTCCAAACTTTAACTTCAAAACTCAAACCAGGGACAATGGTTCATGCAGGTAATCCCAGCACTTTGGGAGGCTGAGGTGGGAGGATCACTTGAACCCAGGAGTTGGAGACCAACCTGGGCAACATAGTGAGACCTCATCTCTACAAAAAAATTTAAAAATTAGCCGAGTGTGGTCACCTGTAGTCCCACCTACTTGACAGGCTGAGATGGGAGGATCACTTGAGCCCAGAAGGTCGAGGCTGTGGTGAGCTATAGACTGTGCCACTGCATTCCAGCCTGAGCAACAGAGTGAGACCCCAACTTAAAAAAACAAAACAAAACTTAAAATTTCAAAACATGAAACTTACAAAATTACACTCCCAATTTAGATTCCCATGCTAAGACTCCAAAGCATGACCTCGAAACGTTGACACCAACTCTCATTCCCAAAATTTCAGAGTCCTGAACCAGACACAGGCTGAGACTCAAGCCACAGACTGTTTTTGATTCTAACATTCACACACTGAAACTCAGATGCATCAGCTTCTAACTACAAAGCTCAGATCTCTCCTAACTTATACCCCAAAGCTCAGACTTCCAGACCGTATATTATAACCTCAGGCCCCAAACCGTGGCTTCAGCTCTCCAAAAGCAATACTCAGCTTTCAGGCCCTAACCCTAGACCCCAGACCCAATGATCACACCTCTAACTTCAAGCCCTGGAACTCAGACCTCGACACAGTGAACATTAGGCCTGGACCTCTGATCACATGCTCTGACACCAACCTCAAAAATCCAGACTCAGCCTGTAATCCCAGCACTTCGGGAGGCTGAGGTGAGTAGAATGCCTGAAGCTGTGGGTTTGAGACCAGCCCAGGCAACTTGGTGAGACCTCGTCTCTACAACAAATAAATAAATAATTAGCCAGGCATGGTAGCGCATGCCTGTAGTTCTGGCTACTTAGAAGGCTGAGGCGGAAGGATCGCTGGAGTCCAGCAGGTCGATGCTGAGATGGTAATGAGCATGCCACTGCCCTTCAGCCTGGGTGACAGAGTGAGACTCCAACTCAAAAAAAAAAAAAAATC